ACACTCCCCATTTAGACATACCTAATTGTTTAGCCTGTCCAACTATCTATCCGTCCATATACCCCTGTTTGCCTTCACTGACAACTCAGTACTGTGTATGCAAAAGGGTTCATATTTGTTGTCTGTACTTGCCATGTACCTCGCTGTGTCTTTCTCATCCTCAATGGTGAAATATTTGTCACTCGCTGGGCATCTTTCTGATGGTATGATTAGGCATTCTTGACCCTGTCCCCCCAGGGGTGTGGATGACCACCCCCTGGTCACTTGTGAGAAGTCACAGCAGCAGGAAGCAGTCAACGACAGATCACAGGACATGGCACCCCAGGAGTTATCAGGTGCAGTGGTGGGTGGGGGCCCGTCCTCTTTGAGCTAGGTCAAGGTGCACTTTTCCTGCAGAGCCTGGGGACATTCAAAGAGGGCGTTTCCGTGGGCTATAACCAGCCTACAGTGCCTACAGTGTGGGGCAGAAGCCTTGTTGACCCTGCTTTAGCTTGTCCTCCTCAAATGGTACTGTTACCTCTCCCCAGCTCTTAAGAGGTTGTCTTTCCATTCCTGAGTCTGCAGTGAGCCCGGCCTGGAGCCTGGGCACATGGCATTCTGTGAAGTGGGGGGGGCCTGTTGAGGAGCCTGCATGGCTGTCGGTGTTGAATGTGAAGGGGTAGCCTGGTGGCACAGGTTCAGGGCCCATGTGGATGTTGATACTGGCTGTGTGGAGGCGAGCTAATGGCCTGGGCTCTGGGCCTGTGTGGACATCAGCACTGGCTGCATGGAGGTGGCATGGTGGCCTGGCTTACATGGACATTGGTGCTGGCCATGTGGAGGTGGTGGGTGGCTGGGCCCTGCCTATGTGGATGTTGATGGAGGAGCCATGTGGCTGGGCCCTGGGCCGTGTGGACATTGGTGGAGGAGGTGTGTGGTCTTGGGCTATGTGGACGTTGGTGGAGGAGGCGTGTGGCCCGGGGCCATGTGGACATTGATGGAAGAGGCACGTGACCAGGTTGAATGGACATTAGTGGAGGAGGTGTGTGGCCCTGGGCTTTGTGGACATTGGTGCTGGCTGCGTGGCAGCAGTGTGGCCGGGCCCTGGGCTGTGTGGCTGCCGCTCTGATCCTGCTGCTTGCTCCCACAGTCCCGGCTTTGCCACTTCCACTCTGCCCTGCTGCTGAGCCGGAGGAAGCCCTGGCCAGCCCCCGCTGCCTTCTTTAGGAGGAGCGTTCGGGCCCTGCAGGCAAGGTAAGGGACTTTCTTTCCATCGGCAGGACATTGAGCCCTGCACTGGGTATGGGGGGCACCCTGGCTGGGCAGACGGTGAGCCCTGTGAGGTGTGGAACCCATGGTACATATGGGGTGGCCTCCCTGGCTCTGCCCTGACTTGCTTCCCCGACAGGCCGCTCGCAGGCCAGCAGAGTTCAGGTGGGTCTGTGCTCTGAGGGGACGGAGCCTGTGTGAGTGGAGGCAGGACTGCTGTGACAGCACAGGTGGCCGAGAGTGACGCCAGAGAAGAGGGCAGGTGTTTCCAGCAGAAGGGCCACTCAGAGGCCCTCGGTGTCACTGGAGCGCCGTGGCCGGGGGGACGCTGGATGCTCAGGCCGCAGCGCTGGCTCGTTACAGCGACATGCTGTGCTCATAGATGAGCCCTGGCTGAGTGCAGGGGCGGGCGGGAATGCCGTGTGCCACGCTGGCGGGGCCCGGCTACGTGCAGTGTGTGTCTTGAGCTTCAGCTTTGGCAGGAGGCTGCTCTGGCAGGAGCGGGAGAGGGCGGGTCAGAGTCGAGGAGTGACCAGGGCCTGTGTCTGTCTCCCCTCCAGCTCTGGGCGCCCCAAGCCACTGTGGAAGAAAATGGTGTCCACCACGGTGGTGGGGGTGCCCCTGCTGCTTGGCGTCCGATACTTCACCGCAGAGGCGCGGGAGAGGAGAAGGATGCGGCTCGTGGTGGATGGCGTTGGCCGTTTCAGCAGGTTAGCTGGCAGCCAGCTGGGGTGGGAATGTCGTGGCCTGGTCCCCCCTGTGTGGGCTGCTCAGGCTGGCCTTCGTGTGGCTGGGGCCCCTGATCACGTGTCCTGGGGTCAGCTCAGGAGGGGCTGCAGCTGCCTTCCAAGTGCTTGTGGGGCAGGGGGTTTGCAGACAGCCCACGTGGCTCTGGGGCTGAGGACCGCAGCTCCCACAGAGCTCCCTCAGACAGGCCTCAGCCTTGGGGGAGGGGTTCCACAGGGCTTGCTCCTCCTCCCACCCAACCCTGGGCTGTCAAGCAATCCCTCCCCTTCCCTCCTCCCCCTCACCACTCCCTGCCCTTCCCCTACAATGGAGCCCCAGGCCAGAGTTGGCCTCCAGACAAGAGAGGTTTGGGGCACAGACTGGAGGGTTGCTTTTCTCACCCACTCCTGGTGGGTGATGTCCAGATGTGCCCTGACCTGGGGGGCCTCAGCTAACGGTTTCACTGGGGCCCTTTTATCCCCCTTGTCTCCCGGTACAAGATTCTGCTGGGCGTTTCCTGCCCGTGGCCTCCTCCTGTATACTCCGCTCCTGGTCGGGCCCCGGGGCTCCTGCAGCCACAGGTCTGGTGCCTGGGAACCCTCTCTGGCTCTGAGTGGAGCCCTCAGTTCACTGAGCACAAGGGTACTACCTGTGTCTGTCTTGCATGCACCTCGGTCAGAGGCCTCAGGCCACCAGGGCGTCTGTCTGTGCTCTTCTGGCTCCTGGCACCGCCTTCCAGAGGCAGCTGCTTAGGACCCATAGGGCCTGGAGCACCACAGAGTGGACTTGTTTAGATTCAATCTGCTGCCTGAGGGGCATATGGCAAGTGGATGGATGGACAGGGGCATGATGAATGGATAGGTGAATGGATGGACAGGTGGACAGGTGGGTGGGCAGACAGAGGGGCGGGGGGGGGGGCAGAGGGGAGGGTGGGTGGCTGGCTGGATGGACAGGTGGATGGATGGGGTTGGGTAGACAGATGGATAGAGATGGATGGATGCAAAAGTGAGTGGACTGACAGGCAGGTGGATGAACAGACAGATGAGCGATGGCTGAGTGGATGATGCGTAGGAGAACGGATGGGTAGATGGACCGATGGTGGGTGCACAGATGGGCAAGTGGGTGGATGGATGGATGGATGGATGGGTAGATGGATGGATGGGCGGATGGACACAGATGAGCGGATATATGGGTGGGACGGGCGGGTGAACGGACAGATGGGTGGATGGACAGATGGGCCCATGGGTAGATGGACGATGGATGGACAAGGGCCAGGAGGATGGATGGGTGAAGATTTCCAGCCTGAGGACAAAATACAGGAGCTCATTGCGCCTGAGTCCCTGGAGGTGGGGGGGTCGTGTCTCTAAGCCCTACCTCCCTGAGTAGTGCGGTTGGCGGATTGGCCTGCTCTCCTTACCGTCCACGTCAGCAGGTCTTGGGAGATCTCTGTGTCTGTCCAGGTTCTTCACCAGCCCAGGGGCCCGTGTGGGTGGGCCCTGGGGCTGTCTGTGTGTTGCCTGTGGCCCTTCCGTGGTGGCCCACTTGGGGGGAGAGTAAGTACACATGCTGAGGTGCAGCTAGCTGGTCCTGGGGCGAATGCTCTGTCTGGGTCTCTGTGTCTCCTGGTGCTCGGAGACCTCCTGGGAGAGCAGGTCCTCACAGAGCCCCGTTTAGGCACAGAATTCAGGGCTCTGGGGACTGGGAGCCCAAGGCAGGCACAAGGTATGGTGCGCTAGACAGAGTCTGGAAGGGGAGCTGTCGGGACGGGGCACACAACCTGCACTCAGACTATTAGGGGAGCAGTAGGGCAGGGCTCCCCTTGTATCCTGGTCCTGGCTGCTTGCTCCTCCCGTTTATTTCATTTAATACTGTTAATCATCTGTGGGCTCTTTTTTTCATTCTTGTTGTGAAATCATTTCAGACATCCAGTAAAGTTGTGAGACTAAGACACAAGACTTTGGTTTGGTTCATCCTGTTTTTCTCTCTTCTTCCTGAACCGTTTAAGGGTCAGTTGTCCATGTGCCCTGTTATCCCTGGATCTTTATAGTGTGTCTGTCCAGTCAACAAGAGCATTCTCTGACATGACCCCAACAGCAAATTGGTCCCCTCAGACCCCACTTGGGGTCACCTGGTACCCAGCAGAAGGGTCCAGTCCGGGCTCATGGACAGGTGTGACATCTGGAGCGATTCCTCAGCGTCTCCGTGGCTTTCAGGGACTTGACACATTCAACAATTACAAGGCAAATATGTTACACAGCAGGGTCAGCAAACGAGAGGCCTTGGCCAGACATGGCCAGTGCCTGCTTCTGTAAATAGTTCCACTGGAACGCAGCCTGCTGTGTGTGCACACGTTGCCTGTGGCTGCACCTTTGTGGTAGGGGCAGAGCTGAGCGGTGGCAACACAGACCAGGTGGCCCCCAGAGCCTGGGGTACTTCTGGCTGGCCCTTTCCAGAAACAAATCCTGCCGACCCTGCGATGGCTTCGTTTGGGTTGGTTTGCCTGGGTTCCTCGTGGTTAGGTTCTGCCACGTGTCTCCGGCACCGCAGAAGGGAGGCTGCTGCGCTTGGGTCCTGTCAGGTGCTGTCCGCCAGGGCTCGTTGCTCTGAAGCCCCTTGTCACTGATGATTAGCCGGGCAGCTGTGATGAGGCTGCCAGTGGCCTCCTGCTCCCACTTCCGGTGCTCCTTAGCTGAGTATCTGTTACCTGGCATTGCTGGGTGGTGGCGGTGGCATGCCAGCCCTTCTGTGCTGGTGATTGCAGTCTACCATGAGGAGGAATTTTCTCCCCGTTCACTGTTCACATCGCTGTGGACACGTGAGTGTGTATTATCCAGTGGGTTATTGTCTGTCCACATCGTTGTTGTTTTGTTGCTACTGTTGTCGGAGATTTGACTTGGGATCCCCCTTTATCTCCCATGTTTTATAATGAACGATTTCAGACACAAAGTTGACAGCATTTTGCTGTGAGCAGCTGCGTGTGCACGGTGGGCGGGCTTTTGCTGGCCGTTCGCACTTGTCTCCTGGGGCCGTGCCTGCGTGTTTTCTGAGTGTTTCGCTCCTCGCTGGCCCAGAATCTGCGCGTGTGCACAGGATCCCCAGTCCCATCCAACACGGGTTCCTTCCAGCTCTCCCCTCCCCAGCCTGCAGCTCTGCCCCTGTTCCCCACACATCCACTTGCTGTGTGACCCAGCATAGCCACAGCCCTGCCGGGTGCCCCCTTGCCCTGCTGGGCTCCCGCAGCCAGGCCATCCATTGCCACCTCAGTTCTCCAGCTGGGGCCCCTCCTAATCCAGGCTCTGAGTGGGGCAGCACTGCCACCTAGCGGTTCTGGCCCAGCTCGTTCAGAGAGGAGGGAAGTGGCACACCTTGGCTTTTTTTTAAAGCAATTTTATCAGCACAGCCGGAGGCTTACGGGGGCTTGTATAGCGAACACAGCGGGCCTGGGCCTGTCCCTCTTCCGCGCTGTTGCCCTCCCCCGTGCTGTCCCCTCCCTCGCACTGTCCTTTGCACCGTGTCCCCTACTCTGCAGGGTCCTCTTCCCATGCTGTGTGTGGCCTGTGCTGTGGCCCCTCCCCTGCAGTGCCCTTTCCCCTGCAGTGTCCCCTTCTATAGCAGTCCCTCCCCTGCCCCATGTCCCCTCCCCTGCACCGTGTCCTCTCAGTACTGTCATGCATCTTGTGGTGAGTCGTTACACTGTATGAGCCAGCACACACATGGTTACCAAGTCCACAGTTTGCATTGCAGCCCACCTGTGGGTTGTGGCAAACACGTTGTGTTGTGTGTCCAGTCTCCCAGTATCATAGGGAACATTGACCGCCCTAAAAATGCCTGGGGCCCTGCTGTGCATCCCCGCACCCAAACTCGGGCCAGACTAAGAAGGCGCAGAAGTCATGCTTGTGGTCAGGCAAGCCCCTTGTCCCCTTAAAACAAAAGTCTATGGAATTTTTCATGTGACTTACTTTTATTACAAAAGGATTTTAATACAATGAGTCTAATGAAAGAGAAGTCAGCCAGTGTGAACGCCTGCCCTGATCCTGCACCCAGGGTGAAGTCTGGCAGGTGGCCATCTGACCTGGGCAGCCAGGGAAGGGGCTTGTTCTGCACAAGACCCCAGCCCCCAGCCCGCCAGTCCATCAGCCGGCACGTGGGGAAGCCTCACCCAGCTCCACGTGGCCGTGAAGGCCCCTGACGGTAAAGAACCACAAGTGTCAACATCTCGAGTGTGCAGCAAAGGTCCGCGTCCCACAGGGCAGAGTCCTTGGTCCCAGATGGGCCCTCAGGGTGCATGTGGGCACATGGCCACTGCTGCTGCAGTCTTCCCAGAAGGGGACACGGCTCTGATGGGTCATGCTGGGGTCTCACGTGTACATGCGTGTATGTGTGTGCATGTACCTCCTGCCCCCCCCCACAGACAGGCTGAGTGGACAGGCAGCTTCTAAATGAAAAGTAAGCTGCTTTTCCAAAAGGGGTAACAGGCAGGTGTGGCAGACGTAGGCTGCAGGTGAGCACCCTGCCTGCCCCGTTACTGACAAACTAGCCTCTTCCCTACAGCAAAGACACTGAGGGCGAGTCCTGCCCACGTGCTCTGGGCAGTCAGACGATTCCTCACAGGGGGCCACAGGTGCCAAGGCTCTTTGTGGGGACCCTGAAGTGGCACCTGGTTGCTAAGATCACACCAGCCACTGCTGGGGTGCCGGGTCACGACTGGCCCTAGGGGCCCTCAGTCCCCTTCCCTTTCCTCTATCTGCAGCTTCTCTGCCGGGGCTCCACCCCTCTGGTGCCTGGACACTGACCATGCCCCTCCCGGGTGCACTCCACCTTCTCCAGACATTACTTGGGGTCTCAGAGCAGACCTGCTTCCTCTTTCTGCCCTGAAGCCTTCAGCTCCACCCACCCCGGCATCTGGGACACCACCTCCGGGCCCACCCTTGCCCTCCTTATGTCCCAGCACACATCTGTACCCCCACACACCCCTTCCTCCCATGTCGCCTGGGCACCCAGCAGGTCGTGTCCAGTGGATGGGGAGGTGGCGTGGATGCAAGCCACTGGGAATAATGTCAGGACTGCCTGGACTCTTGCGCCCTGGGCTGGGGCCAGCCCCTCTGGCTGCCTGGGCACCTGTGCTTGAGGGCCCGTCCAGGGGTGCACGGGCCCTGCCCCTCCCCTGAGGGCGTGGAGGGGGGCTGCCCCAGCCCAGTGGCCTCTGATTACCCCCCACCCAGGTCCTTGCGCATCGGCCTGCAGATCTCCCTGGACTACTGGTGGTGCACGAACATCCTCCTGCAGGGTGTGGATGAGGTGTGTCCCCTGTCTGGGCCTGGGACTGGGCCTGGTTGAGGTCCCCAGGGCCCTCCTGCCCTGAGGGGATGGGTGCCCTACAGGAGCCACTGCAGTGGTCAGGCTGGGAGGGGGTGGTCCACCTGCCCCCACCCCACCGCTTCCCCATGCCTGTGGTCAGAACAGCCCGAGGTACGTGGAGGTGATGTCTGCATGTCACCAGCGGTCAGCCGATGCCCTGGTGGCTGGGGCCATCAGCAATGGGGGGCTCTACATCAAGCTGGGCCAGGGGCTGTGTTCTTTCAACCACCTGCTGCCCCCTGAGTACATCAAGACCCTGCGTGTGCTGGAGGACAGAGCCCTCACACGGCGATTCCGGGAGGTGAGCGTGGGGCAGGGAGGTGGGCTCGCTGTGATGCCCAGGGTGGCAGGGCCAACAGCCCTGGGCGTTGGCTACACCGGCCCCTACGCAGGTGGACGAGCTTTTCCTGGAGGATTTCCATGCGCCGGCCCACGAGATATTCCAGGAGTTTGACTACCGGCCAATAGCTGCCGCCAGCCTGGCCCAGGTGCACAGGGCCAAACTGCACGATGGCACCGACGTGGCCGTGAAGGTGCGTGGTGGGGGGTGGGCAGGGGGCCCTGTGGGGTGTGCAGCCCCATGACTGCCCGCGTCCTCCCAGGTGCAGTACATTGACCTGCGGGACCGGTTCGACGGGGACATCTACACCCTGGAGCTGCTGCTGCAGCTGGTGGGGCTCATGCACCCCAGCTTCGGCTTCAGCTGGGTCCTCCAGGTACCACGGTGACGGCTGGCCTCTGCGGGCGGTGGGGGGAGCTGCCCGGCGCCGGCCTGATGCCGTGTGGCCCCCAGGACCTGAAGGGGACGCTGGCGCAGGAGCTGGACTTTGAGAAGGAGGGCCGCAACGCGGAGCGCTGTGCGCGGGACCTGCAACACTTCCACTATGTTGTGGTGCCCCGTGTGCACTGGGACAAGACCAGCAAGGTGGGCGGGCCAGCCAGGCGGGTCGGGCATGCAGGCTGGAGGCCGGGCGGCGGAACCAGCCCCTTCTGTCCCCCAGCGTGTGCTGACCGCAGACTTCTGCGAAGGTTCCAAGGCCAACGACCTGGAGGCCCTCAAGGCACAGGGTCTGATGGAGAAGGACGTGAGTGGGGCGTGTGGTGGGTGGCAGCTGCGGCCCTGACCCCACCTCTGCCCCAGCTCCACTGCCCATCCTCCCCCCAGGTCGCCCGGAAGCTGATTGAGGTCTTCGCGGAACAGATCTTTGACACAGGCTTCATCCACTCAGACCCGCACCCTGGGAACAGTAGGAGAGGCGCTGGGCTGTGGGGCACGGGCGCAAGGCATGGGGTACCGGGTGGCACGGGTGGGGTACTGGGTGGCACGGGTGCGAGCGTGAGCTATTGTCTCTAGTTCTGGTGCGGAAAGGCCTGGACGGGAAGGCGGAGCTGGTGCTGCTGGACCACGGGCTCTACCAGTTTCTGGATGAGAAGTGAGTGGGGCCGGGTGGGGCTCCCGTGCTGGCCTGCCCCAGGCCCTCCGGGTGACCGTGCCGGCCTGCAGGGACCGCTCGGCACTGTGCCAGCTATGGCGAGCCATCATCCTGCGGGACGACGCATCAATGAAGGTGCACGCTGCCACACTTGGGGTGCAAGGTGAGGGTGCCTGCAGGGCCTGGGGCCAGGTCCGGGGCGGGGCCACAGGGCCACTCACCTGCCCGCAGACTACCTGCTGTTCTGTGAGGTGCTGATGCAGCGGCCGGTGCGCCTGGGCCAGCTGTGGCGCTCACACCTGCTGAGCCGTGAGGAGGCCGCCTACATGCAGGACATGGCTCGCGAACACTTCGAGGACATCATGAGAGTGCTCAAGGCCCTGCCACGGGCCATGCTGCTCGTGCTCCGCAACATCAACACCGTGCGCGCCCTCAACACCTCTCTCGGTGCCCCCGTGGACCGCTACTTCCTCATGGCCAAGAGGTGGGTGGCTCTTGGGGCCTGGGGGCATGTGGCAGGAGCAGGGAGGGGAGCGCAGGCTGACACATGTGTTTGGGGCAGTGCCGTCAAGGGCTGGAGCCGCCTGGTGGGCGCCTCGCACCAGGGCATCTACCGCTTCAGCTTCTTGCGGCAAATGAAGGTTGTGTGGGAGACGCTCAAGTTCGAAGTAGCCCTGAGGTGAGTGGACGGTGGCGTGGACAGCTGGGGCCCAGGGCGGCCTAGCCACGGACTTACACCAAACCCTGTGACCTGCCCGCCTCAGGCTGGAGATCTTGCTGATGCGGCTCACGGCCCTGGCAGTCCGCACCCTGGTGCAGGTGCACCTCATGGAGGAACCCGAGGGCTTATACGAGTACCTGGAGACCTAGGCTGACCCCACGGTGGGACAGCAGGGACTAGGGACGCAGCACACTGCCAGCTGCACCCCTGGGGGCAGTGCCCAAGGCTGGCAGTGTGGTCTCTCAGCCCTAGGCCCTAAAACAGCCCAGCTACGTGCGGGACATGGTGGGTTCAACGACAGTGGCTATCAGCCCCACGATGACACTCATTGTCTCAAATAAATCTAGTCAAATCATTTTGTGTTTTATACAAAAGAGGTGGGGTGCAGTGGGAATGGGAGGAGCTGGAGGCACATGGGGGTGGCAGCATCTCCCGTGGGGCTAAAAGTGGGCCGTGACGCGGTCCGTCTCCAGCAAATCATCCAGGATCTAGGGGACCAGGAGCAACGGGTGAGGCGGGGTGGGGGGTGGACTGGTGGGGGGCGGGGCGGCCAGCAGAGACCCCCAGTGCTCACGATGTCAGGCGTGGTACCAATCTTCTTGGCTAGCTCCCCACGCTCCATGGTGCTGAGGTAGAGATAGCGGTTCAGCAGCTCCCCGTCAAGGACGTTTCGCACCGCGTTCTGCAGGATGCGCCGGTCCACGTGCAGCATGCTGGGGGGGGGGGGGCAGGAAGTTAAGGGGCTGTGGGGCAATATGGGCCAGGCCCGTGTGCTGTGGGGGCACCCACCGGAAAGCGCGGGGGTTGAGGCCGGCATGGTGGGGCAGCATGGTGGTCAGCGCGTTCTGCAGCATCAGCAGCCGCCGATAGGTCTTCTCCTGCATGGGCAGCAGGAGCCCGATGCCGCCGTCCAGGGTGGCTGTGGGCAGGCACGTGAGCTGGGGCTGCGCTCCCCCTCCTGGTCCTGTCTCCCCCACCCACCAACCCC